AACAAGAATTCCTACTGTGATATCCCCAATGAGATGTCCCGCAGACTTTGCCTAGTGGGTTCTAGAGAGAAGGAGCCCACCACCTCCTGGGGTACCCCATTCCACTTTGGTTGGGATAGCTTTCATCAGTGGGAAGTTTTTCCTGACATCAGCCCCAAATCTGCTTCTGCATCTCGCACATTTACTCCTATTCTTCTCTCTAGGCTCCAAAGTGAGCCAGTTGCCTCTTCCATATGTAAGTCCTTCAAATATTTGTAGATCTCTCTTATGCCCCCCACCCCCACCCCTAGCCTTATCCTAGCTAAACAGGACAGTCCTTTCAACTCGTTCTCATGTAGCATGATCTCAAGGTCCTTTACCACCCCAGTTGTCCTCCTACAGACTCTTCAGCTTACTATTGTTCTTTCTAAAATATAATATCTAGAACTGAGCACAATACCCTAGGTGACACCTGACCACTGTGGAGCACAGTGTCACCGCTTCAGTCTTGGACACTTGTAAGCCACTTTAAATGGAACTCTATGATCACATTAGCCATTATTGACTGCCATGTCACGCAATTCAGTCATTGATCTTTCAGTCCCCCGAAGCCCCCAGGACTGTTGTTTAACTATGCCTTGCCCATCTTGTACTTGCAGAGTTGATTTTTTGAATCCATCTATGACTTTATATCTCTCCCTATGAAATTTCACCAATTCGATTTAGTCCAACACTCTAGCCTGCCAAGACCTTTTTGTATAACCATGATAACCATGCCCTCCAGTCTTGTGTCATCTACAAATTCAATAAGAAGGCCATCTGGGCCTTTGCCCAAATCATTGATAAAAATGTTCAATGGAACAGGGTCAAGCATAGGTCCCGGCAGTGTTCCAGTAGGGATGTCCTTCCAAGGTGACATCAAAACATCAATCACTGCTCTTTGGTTTTAGTCATTCAGTCAAACCCACCTAAAGATACAGTAGTTAAATGTACCTAACTGTCTAGCCTACAGGGATAGCAGAGGAGACCTTGTTAAATAAATGCTTTACTGAAATCTCAATGTACCACAACAAGAAGATTCCCCTGATCTCCCATTCTACTTACACTGTTATAGCAGGATTATCCCACTAACCTTTTAATTGATCTCTGCCTCGTCTCTCCGATCCATCCTGTATTCAGCTTGCCGAGGTGATTTTCTTCAGAGATCTGACCATGTCCCTCTTCGTTCCTCAAAAAACCCCAGTGACTCCCTATTACTTCCAGGGCAAAATATGAAATTCCCTTCTTGGGCATTTAAAGCCCTTTTGTAACCCTTCCTACCTTGCTGGTATTCTTCTGCAGCGCTCCTTGCATTTCTTCTCCCCTCCAGCTCCCCAGGGATATGTGCTGGTCCTCACACGATATGACCTTCAGGGACTCCCTCCCTGCCTTTGCTGGCTCTCCTCCATCCCTGGGGTTTTCCTTCCTCACACCTGCCTCTCACTTTTCCTGGCTTCCCTTAAGTCTCTGCTCAAACACCACCTTTGGCAGGGCAAGAGGCGGCTTTTCTGGTCTCCCTCCCACCTCTGCTCTGAGGTTGCCTGCTCTGTGTGTAACTTCTACAGAGTTCTTTACATGTTGTCTCCTCCATGAAACTGTGAGCTGCTTGAAGGCAGGGCTGAATTTTTGCCTTTCTTTGTATGGTGTCTGGCACAAGTGGTGGTGGTTTAGTCATTTCAGTCATGTCTCACTCTTTCATGACCTTGTTTGGGTTTTGGGGGCTAAAATGTTTTTAAATGCATAAAACAAAATACATGGGGTTACCAATATCAAAATACTTATCAAGGTTTAAAAAACCCAATATGTAGTTGTTTACTGGATAAATTACTGACCCATACTTACCAGGTGTACCCTTACATTCACATACATTCAGTCACCAGAAACATTCACACACAATTTCACACATGTTCACTACACCTATGTACTATCATTCATATACACAAATACACATCCATACATGTATTTACATGCCTATCCTGACACAGACACATCATACATATACACAAACATATATATTAGTACTCATTAACAGACATGTATAGAGACACATATACACAAAACCCATACACGCACATGTGTCATACATGCACAGACTACACACATACATACACACATACACACATACACACATACATACACACACTGCAGTCAGGCATCCTGGCCCTCATCTTGTTAGGACCAGAAAGATGAAACACCACCTTGGTGCAGCAGGGCTGGTTGCTGTGGGAACCAGGATTCTGAAGATCAGAAAGTGGAACAATCTGAATTCTCCCTCTGAATATCATATTAGCAACAGAGAGCTCTGTGCTCAGAATCCTGAGTTCATTTTGCCTTCGGGAGGTCATCTGGTCAATCCAGGATTCTACTTGGGCTGGCAATTAGACTTGCAATGGCTTTTTCTCAGGTCGATGAAGGGCCCCCCCGCCCCGGCTGTCTATATGAGAGGGTTCTGTGTGTGTGTTTGTATGTGTATGCATTAATGTGTGTTAAGTGGTGCTGTTTCTTGATGGTGTGTGTGAAGTCTTGGGAGGACTATGTGGGCGTGTGCGTTAATGTGAGTCAGTGGTATGTGGGAAGAATCGTTGGGGGAGGTTGAGTTGAAGTCTTGGAGGGGGTGCCCTGTGTGTATGTGCATGAATGTGCCTAAATGTTAACAAAAGTGGCGGGTGGGCAGGGGGAGGGGGAGGTATCACAGTCCTTAGCTGTGAGTTATTCTCTCTTTTTGCTTCCGCAAACCCAAGCTCATAGCCCGCCCAGCCAGGGACCAAATCATCTTTCTCTCTGCTTCCCGTGGTCTTCCAAGTATCCAAGCCAGGCAGGGTGAAGGGTGTGACTGGGCACTCTTAGAACCGTTGACAAAGATTTAGAGTCAGAAGAGACCTGAAGAAATTACAGTTATTACAAAAGAATTACAGATCAGGAAACTGAGGCACAGAGAGGACATAGAGCCACAGATCTAGAGTTGGAAGAAACTGTAATGTGAAGATCACGTGCCCTTTGGCAGTCTGGTGAAGCCTTATGGAGCCTTTCTCAGGAAAAATAATGTTTTTAAAGGCTTAAAACAAAATACACAGGATTACCAATATTGAAATCATTTTTAAAAAAGAAACAAATTCACAGACCCAGGTTAAGAATGCCTGCCCCCAGGCCATCAGGTGCAAACCTTTCATTTATAGATGAGAAACCCAAGGCACAAAGAGGCTATGAGATTCTAGGATTATCAAGTGAGATAATATTTGTAAAGGGCTCAGCACAGCGCTGGGAACAACTAGGTGCCTGATAAATGCTTGCTCTCTTCCCCTTCTTAGGATCATCGATTTAGAGCTGGAAAGGACCGGAGAAGCAATTGGATAAAACTCCCTCATTTTATAGGCGAGGAAATAGAGGCATGGAGATGTTTAGGGATTTGCCCAAGGGCAGCAGTTTTAAGTATCTAAAGCAAGATATGAAGGCATTTTATTGACTCACAGTCCAGTATCCCATCTGCTCTGCCAGTCAGAGGCCAGCTAGCCTGATGTGACCCTGAGCAAGAATCTCTCTCCAAAATATGACTGGTCAGGGGTCATCCAGCCTTCTCTTGAAGATCCCTGATGAGGCCAACCCCCACCCCTGTCCAAGGCAGCCCACTCCACTTTCAGAAAACAGGAATTATTAGCATGTTTTCCCTTATATGGAGCCTTCATCTGCCTATGTGCTATCCCCCAACTGGTTCTGGTTCTGCCCTCTGGGGTATACTGGAACAAAGTATCATGGTGCTAACTCACATTGAGTTTGCAGTCCACTAAGATTCCCAGATCTTTTTCACTGGCAGGCCTGCCTTGCCGTAGCTTTCCTATCTTGTACTTAACAGCGGATCTTTTTTAAGTCACATAAGACTTTGCATTCATCCCTATTCGGTTTGATTTTATTTAATTTAGTCCAACACTCTAGCCCACCCAGACCTTTTGGGAGCTAGGCTGTTATTCAGAGCATTAGGTAAGTAAGATTCCCAACTTTGTGTAATCTGCAAATTCTATAAACTTTCCATCTTTGTCTTGATCCAAGTCGTAGACATAAAAAATTAAATAGCACAAGGCCAAGAAGAGAGCCCTGAAGCACTCCCCTGCAGACTGCCTCCCAGGCTGACACTCTTTTGGGTCCAGCCAAGTGTGGTATTATGGAAAGAACCATTTCTCTGGGGACAGAGGATCAGAGTTCAAATCTCATCTTAGATACTTATTAGCTGCGTGACCTTAGGAAAGTCACATAACCACTCTTTGCCTCAGTTTCCTCCTTTGAAAAATGAGAGGGTTAGACTTGATAACCTCTAAATCCCCTTCCTATTCAAAGTCTATGGTCGCATGATCCTATGCCATTTCTGGGTCACATTATCCTTGTCTGTAAAAGGAGGAGATTGGACTAGACATAGCCCAAGGTCTCTTTCAGCTCTAGAGTCTGTGAAGTGGGTCTGACACGCCCAAACTGGAAGGTGTCTGGCCATTTATTTCCATTGCAAACCCAAGAACAGCATGGGTGACCCTGTGCAATGGCTCCATCCCTACCCCATGCTTTTATATCAGGAAGCCTCACCACTTCTTCACTGTGTGCATGTGTGTGTGTGTGTGTGTGTGTGTGTGTGTCTGTGTGTGTCTGTGTGTGTGTGTGTAGACCTCCCTGATACAAGCCCCCAGAGGGCTTCCCTTCACACACTTACGGTTCTTCATTTTCCTTGGAGCACGAAGAATGCAATTCTTGTGAGTGAGGGGCTTATGTAAGAGGCCCTTCTGTATTTTCTATGCCTTTGTCTCTGAACTACTGGTCGGGATAAAGCTAATACAGTTCTTAATCTGCATCAAGGATGCAGATAATTGAGCTCCTTCCAGTTTTCTCTGAAACGCTCCATTTTGTTGTTCCTGGTGACTCAATAGCCTTCTATTACGTTCATGTACCATAATTTGCTTTTTTTTTCACTTACCTTTCTTGGCTTCTGTATTTGTTTTCAGGCCAGACCACTCTGACCTCTCCTACCTTATCTGAAAAACTGGACAATGTCCGAAGCATGGGAAACTTGACATCAGATATTGGTGAGAGCCTGGGCGAGTGGCGCAGGGGGGAGGGCCACGGGGCTGACCTCACAAATAGGTGAAGTAGGCGACTGCCTTTGGGGTGACTGCAGGAGCACTGAGAAGGTTCCCTGCCCTCAGATGGTTCCCTCCACCAATCTGTCCCTGTGTCTGAAGAGCCACCATTAGAGATCTAATGAATGCTTGGAATCTGAGCCTTCTATCAAAGTGCTCTCTATGTGAAGTAGGACATCAGGAAGGGGCTGAAGACAAGCTTTGCCTAGTCACCAATGCTGCAGGGTAGACAGGGGTTGGAGGTGTGGGGAAAGCTGCTTCTTAGCCAGAAAACAAAGATAGAGAAGTGGGGAGACCCACGCCTGGCAGGAGATCGTCGTCTCAGATAAGCCTGTATCCTGCCCCTCCCCAGGGCTCCCCACTAGAGATGTGGCCATTTATGGCTGGTTTAGTGGTTGCTGGAGGGGCAGAAGAGCCCCATCTCTAGGTGACATTTTAGTTCAGGAGGCAGGAAATGATGTGGGTGGGAGATTATGCATCTTTTCACCCACCCCTTCAGGGGTGGCTTGAGGGCCAAGGGGAGTTCCTTAACCAGCTCATCTGGGGTGGGGCTTATACATGACGGTCTAGGGGGCATCCCAAGTGCCACTCTATGAGGGCATCTTTGGAGAGGAAGACATTGGTCTCATCCCTTCAAGTCCCAGTATCAGACCCACCAATCCTATCCGTTCCCCCTTCAACAGACCCCTCCTAGCTCAATGTCTCCCATTTCACATGTCAGCTGTTTACAAATTTTCTACAGAATCACAAAATGTCAAAACTGAAAACATGTCCATGTGACCAACCCTTCTATTTTACATATGGGGAAACTGAGTCACCGACTTAGGAAAAGTGACTTGCTCAAGTTATGTAACTGGTCCAAGAATCCCAGAATCTCAGAATTGGAAGGGACCTCTGAGGATAGCTAGGTTAACCTGCACCTGAGCAGAGAGGTGCACTCTCTGGCATACCTGACACGTGGTTATCTAGCCTTCGCTCAATGAAATCCCATTGATGGAGAACCCACCAACTACTGTGGCATGGATGACATGTTCCACTTTTGGACCATTCTAATTGTTGGAAAAGGTTTTCTTATACGGTGCCAAGATCTGTCCCTTTGTGACTTCTACCCATTGCCCAATAGTCAATAAACATTTATTGAGTGCCCAACCCTCTGCTAAGCACAGGGGGTACAAATAGGAAAAAGAAAGATAGTCTTTGCCCTCAGGGGGATCACAATCTAAGGTGGAGGGGAAGACATCAAACAAAAAATACACATGGTGCCCTCTGAGGCTAAGCAGGACAAGTCAGATCCCTCCACCATACGCCATTTTTTCAAACACTTTAAAAAAGTGATCATGTTCCCCTAAATCTTCTCTTTTCCAGGCTAAGCATTCCCAGTTCCTTCAACCAATTCTCCAATGGCCTGGTCTCAAGGCTTCCCCCCATCTTGGGTCAGATCTGAATGTGCCTGTTTGTCAATACCCTTCCCAAGTTGTGGTATTTAGAACTAAACACACTGTCCTTCCAGATTTAGTCTGAGTAGGGGGGAGTCCAGCAGGACCATTACATCATGCTGTCCGGAGATAGTTATGCCTCCTAAGGCAGCACTAGCTTTTTTTGGCTTTGGTATTTTCAGCTTGCAATCCACTCAAACCCTCAGATCTTTTTCAGATAACTTTTAAAGTTTTTTCTTAATTTATTTTTTTTAATGAACAAAAATTTGTTTTTTCTCCTTCCTCCACTGATAAAAAGAGAAAAACAAAAACTTAGGAACAAATATGCAAAATAGATTCCCTTATTGTCCATGCCCAAAAAATACATGACTCATTGCATCCTGAGTCCCTCACCTCTCTACCAGGAGGTGGAGAGCATGCTTCAACCTCAGTCCTGGGGGTGGTCATTGTGTTGAGAAGAGTTTAGATGACTTGATGTCAAGCCCTCCTGGATTTATGCCTTTGTAGGATCATAAGACCATTTAGAGCTGAAAGTGACCTTCAGGGTTATCAAAATCAACCGCATCAGTTTACAAATGAGGAAAATGAGGCCAAGACAGGTGAAGTCCCAAGTCACACGGGTAGCGACAGGACTGGAAATTGAACCTAGGTGCTTGGATTCCAAATCCAGCATTCCTAGCACTGTATGCAGACCAGTGACTTGGTTGTGAGGTCATGCTGCCCTTTAGATTCCAAACCATGAGAGGGTCCTGAGCCTTGACACTCTCCCTATCCCCCACCCACTAAGGCCCTGTTCTTAGATCAATCACAACACTCAAACGCCTCATGTGCTGCTCCTTCCAGGAAAGAAGCCTGTCCGTCTGGTGAATAGGACTGGCCTTTGCAGTGGGACGGTGCAGGTCAAGATGTCAGGGTCCTGGCAGCCTGTCTGTGAGGACTTCTGGAGCAACGAGGCCAGCCTCGCTGTCTGCAGGGAGCTGAATTGTGTGGGGATGGAGACAATGGTGTCTACTGCGACTCCAGCCCCAGAGAGACCAGAGCACCTCCCTGTGGGGAACAGGACTGTGGTCCTCAATGACACATGGGACTCCCCTCTGCCTCTGCGCTGTGACCAGGGAGATTGGGAAAGCTGCCAGGTACAGCCCTCTGTGTGCACCAGCGGGAGGTCAACCAAGGTCAACTGTTCAGGTGAGAAGAGGACCCTCCCTCAGCACCACCATCCTGACTGGGCACATCGCCCCGGAGACAGAAGAGCTTCTGGGGCTCCCATCCCATAACCCACACTTTTGCCCAGGCTCCCTCTGTACCAAACCTTGGGAATCAGGGCTCTACTCAGGAGGGGCTCAACAAGGGGTGGGAAGGGGAAAAGAAGGGAGGGGGAGGGGAGAGAAGGGAGTGGGGGTTAGGGGAGGGGAGGGAAGGGGAGGGGAATTCAAAAAAGAAGAGAGAGTGGGAGATGCACTTCATCCACCAGAACTCCTCACAGATGGGAATTATCTCTAGTAAGTAAATAATCAAGTGTTCTCTCTCATGAGCTCTTTTCCTTCTTCTCCTCCTTCCCTCCCCTCCCCGTATGCCTTCCTTTCCATCCCCTACGTCTCCCTCGGTCTCCCTCCTATTCCAGAAGTCCACACCGCCGTGCGGCTGGTGGATGGAGGTGATCCTTGTGCAGGTCGGGTAGAGCTGAAGGACGAAGGCTCTTGGGGGACTGTATGTGACGATGCCTGGGACCTGAACGATGCTAATGTTGTATGCAGGCAGCTGGGCTGTGGTCAGGCTGTCGAGGCCCTGGAGGGCTCATACTTCCAGAAGGGCGAAGGGCCCATCCACCTGGATGAGGTGAACTGCTCTGGGAGCGAGCTCTCCCTGTGGGAGTGTCCTGCCCAGAGAAACCACGACTGCGGTCACAAGGAGGATGCCAGCGTGATTTGCTCAGGTCTGTCCTTTTGCCCATCTGTCTCTCTGCTGTACCCTCAGGTCCCTGTGATGCTATGATGCTATAATCTTCATCTATTGTTACATTCAAATTCATCTCAACTCAACAAACAGGGGCTACTAGGTACAAGACACTGTGCTAAGCTTTGGGGATACAAAGAGAGAAAGGAAGCAGGGCTGCCCTCGAGAAGCTTACATTCTATAGTAACAGTCACATGTACACATGGACGTTCACGCAGAATAAATCCAAGATGATTTGGTGGGGAGAGAAGCGCCAGCATCAGGGCCATCAGCTGAGATCTCTGTAGCGAGGTCACTGGGGGCAGAACAGTAACACCTAAGGGCTTTTGATTCCTTGGCCAGAGTCCTCCTTCTGCTGACGCAGACAGGAAGCCCCCAGTGACCTAACAGATGGCCTCGGAGTGTTGCGCTTCATGTGCTGAGGAACCACTCACAACTCTGCTGGCCCTCAGGGGACGGAACGGCCTGGGTCTGTGGTCCAGTGTTTCTTTCGCTGGAGTGCCCCAAGCATCCCCTTGTACCCCGGCTTCATTTCATCTCCTCCCAGTGTCAAAGGCATTGACAGCAGCTGTAGGATCACGGCCGCTGCTGCCACCATCACCGCTCAGCTATCCCTTAGTAGCAGTGGGAATGGGCTGGAAGGAGGGGGACAGCCCAGCTACCCCTTCCATGGGACTGCTCCTACAGTTCTGGCTCCTCAGATCAATACCTCCCAGCCCCGATGTCTCCTCATTCCCTCTGTAACACACTCCATGCCTCCGCCATATTCTCCCAGCCCTTCTTTATCTGTCCTAGTTTGGTTGACACTAATGTTCTTTTTGGTCTCTCTGCCAGGCTCTTGGACTTTCAATACGTCACTGATTCCCAAGACCTCCTCAAGACCTCAGTTACTCACAACAGGTGAGTTTTCCAAGAAGGGAGGTCCAATCTCCCAGGGCTGACTGGAAATGGAGGGGAGGCATGCATCCTCTCTCAGGGACACTCTGGGTACTTCATGGCTACCTAAGGGTAGCTGGTTGATTCCAAACCCCTGATGCATCTGCCAATTCCTAGCTCAGCGCCTTCCACTAGAATTCTCACCGATATGTATTCATTTAATTTATCTCCAATTATGCAAAGGGATCCCAGGTGGGAGATAGTGAGCAGTTAATTTTGTACTCATCACAGAACAGAATGGATTTAGGTTAGATGAGCTGAGTAATATTCTGCCTACAAAAGTGATAATACTCTCCTGGAACAGAGCACCATGAGATGAGAGGGAATCTTGTGAAGATTTTAAAGATGAAGACAATGGGACAGTCACATCCCTCAAGGTCTCTCAGCAGAGGCTTATTGAAAATGTTATACAGGGGTAGCTAGGTGGCACAATGGATAGAACACTGGCCCTGGAGTCAGGAGGACCTGAGTTCAAATCCAGCCTCAGACACTCACTAGCAATGTGACCCTGGGCAAGTCACTTAACCCTGATTGCCTCCTTAAAAAAAAAAAAAAGTTATATAGAAGATTCCTACTCAGCTATGGTTTAGATTAGATGCAGCATGGCAGAGTGAAGAGAGTGCTGGAATTGAAAACCCTACCTCAGATACTGGCTGTGGGACCCTAGATGAGTCATTTAACCTATCCAAACCTGTTTCCTCACCTGTAAATGTGAGGATTAGAATTAATGATTTCTAAGGTTCCTTCTAGTCCTAAATCCAAGATCCCATAACCTCTCTAGTTCTGACATCACATGCTTATATCATCCCCATTTTATAGATGGAGAAACCAAGGCAGAAGGCAGTACAGGACTTGCCCAGGCCAGGGTTATAGGATTGATTAGTAACTTAGAGTCAGGACTCAAATCCAGATCTTCAGACCACAACATCGAGCCTTTGATTCAAATCAACAAGCATTTGGTAAATGCCTACTATGTGCTGTTGCCCACTTTCTTCTACAGTGACCAAGTCTCCAGACTTGGAAGCTTCCTCCAGACCTCCCCTGGAGGAGGAGGTACTTTCCATGGGGAGCTTACAATAGGGTAGAAATCAGATGCATGTCTTCAATAACATTCAACAAGCATCGATAAAGTGCTTACTATGTGCCAGGCGCTAAAGAGAGAAAAACAAAACTAAGAACACTCCTGACCCCCAGAAACCCCTAACCGGAGGAGGGAGTGAGCTTTAGCTAGGAGGTTCCAGGAAGCCTTCATGGAGGAGGTGGCTCCGGGATGGAGCCTTGAAGGCAAATAAGGACTCTGGACCGGGGACACAGGGCGGCCCATTTCAGCCGGCGGTCAGCGTTCCAGCCCTAAGGCCTGATCTCTTCATGTTCTTTTCTTCACTCACATGGGGCCTCTCATCTCCAGCATCCTTTGTGCCAATTGGAAAGCAAAAGAAGGAGTCTTGGGAGCAGCTCCCCCTTATCTTCTGCATCATCCTAGGAGTTCTCCTCCTGGCGTCGCTCATCACTCTGACTTTCATCTTTCTGAAGGCTAAAGGAAAGTATGGTAAGTGTCCTGGACACTTACAATCCCTAGGAGTGTGCTCTCCCAGGATGGGTATGAGATTAGCCTGCTTACCCCCTGAGAGCACTGGGGCAAATTGGGTAAACTGAGGCCCTGAGAGGCAAAAGTGACTTTCCCAAAGTCACAAAGCTAGTAGGGGATAGATCTTCAGCCCAGAAGCCAGGCCTTCAGACTCCTAACCCCAAACTCTTTCCACTACTTATGTGCCTCCCCACCCTCAGCCCTCCCAACCACGGAAAATCATAATCAGCGGACATCCACGGCCACCTTCGGAGGCAGCAATAGCTACCAGGAGGTCTCTGTCATCGTCCCCAAAGAGGAAGGTAGAATTCCATCCCACTTGATGTTGGGGGGCTGTAGGCAGATGATAGCATGGAGCTTGGGGATGGGGCAGGCAGTGCTCATCCCCGAGGAAGGGTCAGCATTTCCCCGGGCTCTTGAGCCAGAATGGCAGTCCCATCTGGAGCCGGGAGCTGGAAAACAGTGTAGAGTATCCATCTCATGGCATGAAGGAGCAATCTTTTCTTCCCAGAGCAAATAATTACTGTGCTGATGGACTAGGGCATTTGTGGCATCGTCACCACTCAAAATAGACCAGCCAATCAGCTCCCTACCAACTCCCGATCCTCCTGGCTCCCACTCCCTACTCCCTTTTCCCTCTTTTGCTTTCTTCATGGTACGATGGAAAGGGCTTGGGTTCAAATCCTGCCTCTGCGTTACGTGTGAGACCTGGGGCAAGTTGTTTGGCCTTTCAGGGCTGACTTAGAAGTCAGGTGACTTCCAAGGTGCCTTCCTGCTCTTGGTTTACGATTCCCTGACCCCTCTTTGGCGTGCCTTCACCCTTTCTTCTTAGAGGGTTCAGAGCTAGCCCACCCCCCTCATTTCACAGCTGGGGAAGCCACAGCCCATAGAGGATCGGTGGCCTTCCCCAGGTTACACAGAGAGTAAGAATAGAGGTTGGGTTTGACCCTTTGTCCGTTGAGCTCAAATTCAGCACCTTCCCACCACGTCACCAGGTCCTTGCCACTAACCAATGACCCGCAGGCTTCTTGGGGGCTCCCATTTCCATTTTGTCTTGGTCTCCCCAGTGCCCAGCGCAGTGCCAGGCTCACAGTAGACGTTTGATCAATGCACACTGGATGGTGTTGAATCTAACGGTCTTTCTGAAGCAGTTGCCCATCCCCCTTCCCCCTCTTTCTGTTGTTTTCTTCCCAGCACCCAAGCCCTCCCAGCAGGTGAAAGCCCCGCCCTCGAAGGACCCCGTCTCGGACTCTGACTCTGACTATGAATTCTACGATTTCCACACCCAGCCCCCAGTGCCCCTCTCCACCTTCTATAGTGAGTGCCTCCCTGCCTGACTCCTTGGCCTGGGGAGCTTCAGATGAATCAAAGGGGCACCAGGCTGGAAGATGGGCCTCCTGGGTTCCACTGTTGAGTTTTAGCACTGCCTCCTGGGGAGACCTAGATACTCTCTGCCTCATTTATTCCTTCTGTGAAATGGGAGAAAGTTTTCTTGTTTCTTTTTTTCACAGAGGAGAAGGAATAGGTTCACAGGTGCTAAATGCTTTGAGGTCCTGGGACAAATCTGGATAGGTCCTTGTCAGGGACATCCTCCCGCTCTCGGGACTGCCCCTTCTTCCTGGTGATGTCAGCATCTCTGTCCCAGCCCTCCTCTGCCCCTCCCCCTCCTCCTTCGGAGCCTCAGCCCACTGTACAGAGACTCAAGGTGGGTGGGGGGAAGGATAGCTCCCCCAGAGCCCAGGCTCTCTCTGCCACTCCTACCTGCCTCGGCCATTGCCCCTTCTACCTGGTCTCCCCAAACGCTCCCCCCTGCACTACTTGTGGGCCCTGAGGTTGAGGCAAAGTCATAAATAGGACATCGGGGTTTAAGGCAGGCGTCCAAGCAAGGTTCCTGATCACTTGTGGAGGAGCGATCCCCAAGGGGGCATCTGAGAGCGGCCACACTTGGACTCACAGTACTGGGGGGCCGATTCCTTTCACCCACAACCTGGAGCCGTCTTTGAGGCGACTCCCTCTTTTTGTCTATGAGGAAACTGAGGTTCTGGGGATGGAAAATGACTTACCTTAGGTCCTAAGTACCGGTCCTCTGACTCCAGGGGTGGCATCTTTCTCTCTCTACCACCTTCCCAGAGGGGCACAGGGTGGCACCTCATAAGATGAGACATCTAGAGCTGGAAGAGATCTCGGAGGCGATTGAACCCCTCATTTGACGGATGAGGAAAACGAGGCCAGGGAAGGGAAGTGACTCGTCCAAGATCACTCAGGGAGGAAATGGCAGCCCCGAGATTCGAACTCAGGGCTCAGACTCTAGATCCGGTTCTCTGTCCCACCTTCCCTCCAGCCACACTTCACTCAGGACTGCCCCGGCTGTCTGTGGAGCCCCCCACATCTGCTTTTCACAGACCGAGCCTAATCCGAAGCTCTGATGTGAGCAGAGGGTTTGAAGGCCTTCCAAAGCCATCACAGACACCGTCCTACTTGTGTTTAGTCACCTTGTGAAGCAGATCCTTCAGAGAGGGTGGCAAAGGTGACCAAGGCACAGACCGGGAGCTCTCTCTGTCACCTCTGTAGTCTTAGCCTCCAGATGAGGAGCCCAGGGCTCACAGGAGGAGGTGACTTGCCAGGTTTCAGAGGGAGGGAGGATTCAAACCCGGGTCTCCCCCTCCAACTCCAAGTGTGTTCTGCAGCATCTCTGGGGCTCATCCCCTGCCCCACCCCCACTAGCCTTGGCCTCAGAGCCCTGAGACCCCTCCGCCCTCCACTGCTGCCCCAGGGCAGGGCTGCTGGGACCCCATGTCATCCCCTTCATGAACTCTGCTTTCAGACTCCCAGAAGCACCGAGTGACTGAGGACATGGCCCAGCAGAGCAGGTTCAGGATGCCCCCACTGCAGGAGGGTGAGGAAGGAAGCTTCCAACGTGGTGTACGGGACGGGGAAGGAACGCTAGGGCCCCCTTGGAGGCTCAGCTTACCCTGAGATGCTCCAGCGGCAGCTTCTCTCACCAACCCACTACGTGAGCAGGAGCCAGCTAGAGTAGTGGAAAGGGCCTTGGGTTTGGAGCCGAAAGGCCTGGGTTCAAATCTCAGCCGTGCCACTTTTAACCTTATAACCTTGTACAAATTGCTTTGCCTTTCTGGGCCTCAGAAACAGGTGGAGTGGCTCCTTCACAGGTTGGTTTTTTAAAGTGTTCTGTAAGCCTTAAAGCACTATATAGGTGGGAGTTATTATTGGTCTCCTCTCTGGGCCTCAGTTTCCCCAAATGTTAATGGGGGGATAGATTAGTTGATCTCCAAGGTTCCTTCTTGCTCTAAGTCCTGTGGACCTGACAACGGTCTGTTTACCTCTTCATTTTTAGATTAACCTAGATAGAGTCTTCTTGCTAAAATTCTTGTGGACTGACTTGAGTTACTACAGGTCATCTTTTCCTGTTCTCAGAGAAGTTCTCCTCCCCCTCCATTCTAACCCCCCAGATGTTGACTTCGCATTACAGATGCCCCAGTCCCAGCTCCTCAGAGCTGCCCGAGGCACAGCAGCGAGTCCAGCACCTCTTCGGGGGAAGGTTACTGCAACAGTCCCACCAGCAAGCTGCCTCAGTCCAACTTCCGAGGCTTTTCTTCGGAGAGGAACATTCTGGAGCCGCCTCCCAACCTGGAGCTGGCGGGGTCCCGGGCCACTCTGCCTGGTGAGCTTAGCCAAGGGAGAAGCCCCGTCCTGTCAAATTTCGGTGAAGGTTTTGGGGACGGGTCTATGGGTGCAGAATGTCACATACGGTATCACTGTATCAATTGCTTTTTCTTAGCTGTTTTTCCTTGTGGAGGGATGGGAAAGGGAATGTATCTGAAATGACTGGTACACGCACGAGAAGGCTTTACTTTTCAAATATCTGGTTAGAAGAAGCATGGAATTGGCGCATCCTGGGAATCACGAGCCCTAGAATTCTAGAGCTGGAGGGAACCTGCAGAATGATCCTCTCCCCCCAACCTAGAATGCAAAGTGTGGGTTTCAGAGCCAGAGTTCTAATGCTACCTCTGACGCTCACTGGCCCGGGCAGCCTGGGTCATCACTTCCCCATGTGTGACTCCGGTTTCCTCCTTCGTAACATGGAGAGTAGTTCCAGGAGGCAGCTGAGGTCCCTTCTAGCTATATCAGTTCACATCCGGGTCTGTGAGACATCCCTGACAAGTCATGAAGGCCTAAGTTCAAATCTGGCCTCAGATACTTCCTGGCTGTGTGACCCTGGGTAAGTCACTATTAGGCTAGCTAGCATTTATTTAGTGCTTTAAGGTTGACAAAGCGCTTTACAGATGCTAACTGAGAGGTAGGTGCTATTATTATCTCCATTTTACAGATGTGGAAACTGAGGCAGATAGAAGTTAGGTGACTTGCCCAGATCCATACAGCTAGTAAGTAGGCTGGATTTGAACTCAGGTCTTCTGGCCTCAAAGTCTAGCTCTCTATCCATTGCACTACCTAGCTGACTTTTGGTAGTTTAACTTAACTTCCATATACCTTAGTTTTCTCATCTATGAAATGGGCATAATAAAAGTACTCCTCTCCCATGGTTATTGTGAGGATGAAATGAGATATATGTAAAGTGCTTTGCAAACCCAAAAGTGACATTTAAATATGAGTTATCGTAGGTTTGCACTCTGAGGAATTTACCACCTCTTGTGGCAGCCTCTTTCCATGCCCCAGCCAGACCCTCCTGGAGCATTGGGTTCCCTTCAGACTCCACATGTCACACCATCACCTGGAGTCCAAGCTGGAAGGGACTTGAAAGGCCACCTAGTGCAACCAAAACCCTCCAAAGGTCAAGGTTCTTGCCAGGTCAAGGTCATAGAGAGATAAGAAGTGGCCAAGCCAACATATGGTCCCTGAGCTTCAGGTTACAAGGCCAGTGACCGTCCAAGGCCACCCTGTGCCCTCTGAAACCCACCACCCCTTCTGTGACTGCTATAACATTCCTTTTGCTTGGCTTGGAGGGTAGAACTCAAGTCCATTGGGTACACAGTTCCTACTGTGAAGCAAATGTTGGCGCTCGCCTTCCCCTCCCCCTAACTCCTCCCCTAGATGGTTAGCTTGCTTGGCTACCTGGGGAAGGAAAAGAAAATATGGAAGTGTGAGTTATCAGGCACTTCTCTGGTTCTCACTTTCCCATCTGTAAAATGGGGATGGGGGAGTAGACCAGCTAATCTTTGTGGCCTTTTCCACCTCTAAATTCTAGACATCCCAGAAAAAAGGTTTTTTTTTGGGGATTAACTTGAAGCCCTTCTGTTGCAGGTCATCTTTTTGGGAAAATGGCTCACCTTCCCCTCTAGTCTAACCTCACAAACTTTCCCCTTTGGGTTATAGATGTACGTCTCCTGGCTTCTCAGAACTGCCCGAGGCACAACAGCGAATCCAGCACCTCTTCTGGGGAAGATTACTGCAACAGTCCCACCAGCAAGCTGCCTCAGTCCAACTTCCAAGGCTTTTCTTCAGAGAGGAACATTCTGGAGCCACCTCCCAACCTGGAGCTGGCTGGGTCCCGGGCCACTCTTCTTGGTAAGCTCATCCAGGGGGAGAGCCCTTATTCCAGCAAATCTGGGTGGAGGGTGTCTGGGGAGAGAAGGAGAGGGCTGTGGTTCTAGAATGTTGCATACCTGACATAGTCAGTGTACTAGTTAGTTTTGCTGAACTGTTTTTTTTTGGGGGGGGTTGTTGCAAGGGAAGACTCACACAGTGAATAGGAGGGAACACATAGCTCTCATATGAGAGACATTGATTTAAAAAACAAAAGAGAGGCATCAATAAAGTTTTAATTTTTTAAAAATCTGGTTGGACCACGATTCCAAAGGGCTCATGATGAAACATGCTATCCACCTCCAGATTGGGAGCTGATGGCCTCAGATGGCAGATTAAAACAGATGTTCTTCTTTCTTTTTTTCTTTCTTCCTTCCTTCCTTCCTTCGTTCCTTCCTTCCTTCCTTCCTTCCTTCCTTCCTTCCTTTCTTTCTTTCTTTCTTTCTTTCTTTCTTTCTTTCTTTCTTTCTTTCTTTCTTTCTTCCTTCCTTCCTTCCTTCCTTCCTTCCTTCCTTCCTTTCTTTCAACATGATCAATGCAGTAATTTATTTTGTTTGATTATACATATTTGGAATGGCTTTGTTTTTCTTGCCTTCTCAATAGGTAGGGGAGGAGAGGAGGGAGAGGGGGAGGAAGAGAATTTGGAACTGAAAATAAAAGAAAATTAAATTAAAAATAAATAAAACTATTCCCGCTTATGCCCAAAACAATCTTATTGGGAGGAACCATGAACCTGGGCTGTCCTGGGAATCATAAAACTATAAATTTGTAGAGCTAAAAGGGTCCTGTGACTGCAATGAGTCCAGCCCCTAACTGAAGGAAGGAGCAAGAGGTCTGGATTTTAATCCTGCTCTAACCCCTGGCAGTCTGTGGTAGCTAGATGAAGTCCCTTCCCCACATGGGACATTAGTTTCTTCCTCTGAAATATGAGACTTGTTCCGAAGTGACATACGAAGTTCCCTCTAGTATGACCAGTACATATTTGTATCCCTGCAACAATGAGAATGACCAGGATGGTGCAGACATCTAATAATAATAATAATAATAATACCTAGCATTTAGATAGTGCTTTAAGATTTGCAAAGAGCCTTATAAATATTATTTCATTTGATAATGAGATATCCTGGCAGGTAGTTACTGTAATTATTCTATTAATCCCATTTTACAGATGAGGAAACTGAAGCAGACAGAGTTGCCTAGGTAGAAAGTATCTGAGACAGGATTTGAACTTAAGTCTTCCAGACTCCAGATGTAGCACTCTAGCCACTGTACCACCTAATTGGTGATAACCAGTTGAAAGACCTGGGGGAAGGGGGGAGATTAGTCTGAAGAAGAAAAGTCTTGGGGGAAGGATAGGACAGTGGTCTTCACAAAAGTCAGTATGATACAGTGGGTAGAGCATTGGCTTTGGAGTCTGGAAGACATGAGTTCAAATCCTGACTCTTCTACTTATGATCTGTGAGACCCTGACCAAGTCATTTTACTTCCTCTAAACACCAGTTTCATCATCTGTAAAATGAGGTTAGACTAAACGACATGTAAGGACCCTTCTAGCTATGGATTCATGATCTTATAAGTTAATGCACCTCTCTGAGACTCAGTTTCTCCATCTGGAAAATGAGGGGGTTGGACCAATTGGCTCTGAGGTCTGTTCCAGATCTAAACTACGATTCTATGGTCCTAAGCATTTAAAAACCCATCACATGAAAGAGAGATTAGGCTTATTCTCCTTGGCTCCAGAGGTAAAAACTAGGAACAATCTTTTCCAAATCGCAGAGATGGAGTTTTATGCTTAATATAAGGAAAGATTTCCCACTAGTGAGAAATGTCCCAAAGTAGAATCAGTGGGCTGCCTTGTGAGGGTCTAGGTTCCTTATCCCTGGAGGTCTGCATTCAGAGACTGAACCACCACTTCCAAAGGTCCTTGTTAAGCGCTAGTGGGACAAAAAGATCTCGGAGATCCCTGCCAACCGGGCTTCGGGATTCTGGCATAATGTTAGGAAGTGATTTCTGAGCCCGAATGTGCCTCTGCCACTCTCCCCCAGTGATTCTAATTTTGCCCCCTGAGGCCAAGCAGAATCAGATGGCCCTACGACCAGGTCCCGTTGAGAAAGAGGTCTTCCCTTGTTCCCGGTTCCCTTGCAGGAAGCCACTCTAGAATCGTTTCAGCAGGACCAGCGGCTGAGGACAGCTCCAGCACCTCCTCTGGGGAGTGCTACGAGAATTTTGGCTCATCTCAGGAGCCTCCCACCCTGCCTTTTGTGTGTCCAGGTAATAGAGGGGAAAGAAGAAAGTGAAATATTCACGGAGTGAATGGGGAGCAGGCAGGCAGGGCCGGTCAGGATGTTTGGTTTGGGTGGATGAACCCAACGCAGAGAGAGGGATGTGTTTGTATGTGTATTTGAGGCAGGGAGTCTTATTAATAATAATAACAACAATAACAGCATTTATATAGTGCTCTAAGGTTTGCAGAGCATATGTTATCTCATTTGACCCTCACAACAACCCTGGGAGGTAGGTGCACTTATTATCATCATTTTATAGATGGATAAACTGAGGTCGAGAAAGGTTAAGTGACTTGCCCAAGGTCACATAGCTAGTAAAGGCTGAGCAGGATTTGAATTCAGGTCTATCCTGGCTCCAAATCCAGCACTCCAGGCTCTGGGCCTACCTAGCATGTCCTTGTGGTCCTTTCATTTCTCTCACCAAGAGGTGTGGAGACAAGAGCCTTTGCCTTGGAGTTGATTCTCTGGTCCTGATTTTACCATTTGGGACTCCATCTTAGAGGGGCAAGGCTGGCTTGATGGGCTAGACAGTGCAGTAGAAATCTGAAGCTGGAGGACTGGATTTTAAATCCCAGCTCTGCTGCTTACTTACCTTTGTGACTGTTGACAAGTACCATAACTTCTCTGGGCCTCAGTTTCCTCATTTGTAAAATGAGAAGATTGGATTTAGTCTCTAAGATCACTTCTCCTTTTAGGGGCTCAGTTTCTTTCTCTGTAAAATGAAGGAGTTAGACTCCATGGACCTCTAAGGTCCTTCCCAGTTCCAGATCTGTGATCTTGTTCTGGGTTTGGGGCACAAAGTCGAGCCTTCCCAATGTCCTTGTCAGTGGCTGTGTGCCTGAGGGGGGAAGGGCTGGAGTTATTCCTTGAGCTCTGGAATTCACAATATTAATCATCTTGTCCCAGAGAGAATTCACCAGGGGAAGAGAAATATGTACTGAGCAGAGGATGGTTGGGGATTGGAGATAAGGACCACAGGGGCTTGTATTTTGAGGGTCTCATCTAACATATTGGAGCTCTGGGAGCCAGAGGAAGCAAGGGTCTCATGGTATGAAGTGTGTTTGTCACATACATATTCTGGATTGGGCAGAGCCACCTACCACAGCAGTCACGGGCAGTCATGAAGATGATTCATCTAGTGAAGATTATGATGACATCGGAGCTTCGTAGAGCAAGACCCAGAGAGAGAGAAGGAAGGATACCTGTGGATTCCTGCACCGCCGACCTCCCATTCCTGCCTTCCTGCCTTCCCTCCTAGATCATCCAAAGCCACAAACCATACAGATTCAGATCTGGGAATCTACCACTTTGGAAAGAAAATATCCCATTCCCTACCCTGAGCTAAACAGTGTCCACCCTGCAGTTCCTGAGCCTCAAACCAATTAACATCAGCTAATATGTCTTGACCCTTGTCCCCTGATGAATCTACCAACCTGTGCCTGTGCCTCTGGGTGGCGGGAGGAGAATCCCAGGTCTGGAAGGAACCTCAGGCCCCATCTGCTCACAGACTTCACCAAAAATCCTTTCTGCAACATTGCCAACAAATGGTCATGTAGCCTCCACTTGACAGTCTCCAGTGGGGGGAAACCTGCTACCTCCTGGGATGGCTCATTCCACTTTTGGACAGCTCAACTTGCTATGAAGCTCCTCCAGACATCAAGCCTCAATCTGGCCCTCTGAACCCCTACCCCCACCCTTCCATCACCATTGCTCCTCATTCCATCCTCTGGAGCCAAGCAGAACAATCCTTCCACCATGTGACATTGAAGGGAGTTTTCATGTACTCTGTGTCTTCTTTTGTCAAATGTAAATACCCCAAGTTCCTTCAGTTAGTTCTCACAGGGCCCTCTTGCCCTTCTAACCCCCTCCCCTCGTGCTGGTGAACTGTCAACATCCCCCTCATTGACTAGGGAGGTCCTCATTCTCAGGCTGGTTGCCTTCAAGTTGTCCCCATATGACAAGATCTTGATTTTGAAAAAGAGGACCTGGGGTTGGATCCCGGCTCTGTTACTATCTATAGGCCCTTGGACAAGTCACTTCTCTCTGAGCCTCAGTCTTCTCATTGAAAAAGGAGACTGAACTAGATGATCTAGAATATCCCTTTGAGCTTGAAATCCTATAATGCATTATCGCTAAGATGTTGACTGTTGCCCTCTGCCCAAGGCTTCCCAAGCCCTCCCTATAATAATAATACCTGCTAAGCACAGCAGAAGCCACAGCATGAGCCAGACCTATGGAATTTCCTCAGGACACCATCCCTGGGAATCCCAGGAGGCACCAATGGCTTCCAGTGGAGACCTTGTCTTGTATCTGGAGAGAGACTGCTTCCCCACAGCACGCTGTCAGTTCCCCAGAAGCAGGGGCCATGTGCTTGGGCCAGAGGATATATTCAAGTGGATGCCAATGGAGGAAGGCTGAGACAGGAACTCACAATTCCTTCCCATCCTTCTCCAGATGAGATTTGCAGAGGTCAGTTTTATTTTCCCGTTGGTAAAAAAAAAAAAAAAAAAAAAGAATGTAGCTTACAGAGAAATTGCCATTGTCCATAGTTTTCCCTCAATCCTGGAGTGAGTCCCAGAGAAGCAGGAGAAGAGACTTTGGTTCGCTCATTCCTGACTACACTGAGAATAAATGAGCTTTCTAAGCAAAAAATGGAGTGTGAAGTCAATGTGAGCATTTAAGATCAAGAAGCTCTGCAATTGTAATGGGGTCAGCAGCTGATGGATTGATGATCACTTTGTAAGTCTCTACTATGTGCAAGAAGCACTGTGCCAAGCACTGGGGACAAAGACAAGAGTGAACCTTTGCCTGTCCTCAGAGAGCTTATATTCTATCACACAAGTGTGTGTATGTGTGTATACAGACAGGCACACATACAAATACACACACACACACACACATATATGTTATATGTATGTGAACCACTCATTTGAGATGGAGGACAATGACGACTGCTAGGGATAGAGAAAGGCCTCCCATAGACATTGTCATCTTGTCATTGGAGTTAAGTCTGGAAGTAAACAAGGGTTTTTAAGATGCAGAAGTGAGTCAGTCAACAGGCATTTATTAAGGGCTTGATATGTGCAAAGCACCAGGGGTGCAACAGAAGACAAAAAAAACCCCACTCCTACGTGCAGAATCCTCACCCTTAAGGGGCTTACACTCTAATTGGGGGGACAATATGGAAATATCTGGTTATATACAAGCTCCACACAGAATATGTAAGGGTAAACGTAAAGGGGCTGGGGGCAAGGCAGAAACAGCCTCCTACAGAAGGTAGGATTTGAGATGAGTCTTGAAGGATGGCAGGGAATATAAGAAGTAGAGATGAAGAAGAGGGCATGCCAGGCAGGGGAGACTACCAGTGCAAAGGCACAGAGATGGGAAATCTAGTCCTTTTTTTGGAAATACAGTCTTGTATTCAAGCAACAGACTGGACCAGAGTATGTGAAGGGAACTAAAGTGTAATGAGATGGAGAAATGAGATTCCACACTGCTCATGCTCCCCTTAATGCTGCTAAACAGACATGTGGAGATTTCAACAACTGAATTCAACAAATATTCTTGAAGTGCCTACTACGCACAAAGCACTATGCCAGGGCAAATGATGGCTGTTGCCTGGAGTGGGCTTTGACCTCGTTTGGGGAAAAGTGACCCTGATTCCTAGGGCTCTATTCCAAGGGCCCATTCTGGAAAGGTCAGACTATTAGGGGTGACATTAGTGGGGGCTTTTCTCTTTCATGCTGGGAGTTCGTGATTCAGTCCAGTAAATACTGAGTAAGCATGGTCTGTGGATCAGACGTCCCTTGAAGGCTTTCTCCAGAGCTTTGTCATAACATGAAGGTGACTCTGGGCTCTCAAGGGATGGTCCATCAGAACATCAGCTCCAGCCAGCCCTTCCAAATTAGCAAGGCTTTGAGTCCAAGGAGGGTGGAGAGACTCAGTGTCTTATCACAGGATCTGCCCAGCTCAGTTCAGAAAGGCTAATCACCAGGTTTGCTGGGGGTGGGGTGGAGTGGGGATGGAGGGTGATGGGTTCTCCAGCCACAGAAGCTCCAGAGAACTGAAACTCAGAGGTGGTGAAGAGAGGGACCACATCAGCGGCATCATAAAGTATTGTAATTGTCCACAAGGCTCTGTGCTTTCTAATTTCACTGGCAAAGTTCACTTATTTTTTTTAAAACCCACCTTCCCTCTGGGGGACAAGGAGTCTCAGGAACCCTTCTGCACCAGCCTGCAGCTAGGCAGATGTCCCAGACTGCTCCAAGCCCCCACCTCAGCGCATGGTCTGCCAAAGTGAACACAACGACCTTGATTTTCCTCTTCCCCCTTCCCCAGGAAGGAGATAACTTTGCTTCAGTCTGGGTCTGGAGGGGAGAAAGATCTTCCTTGGGATCCATGGCTGCTCATAGAGAAGCATCCATTCAAAGGCCTCCATCATCATCAGTCCGAGCAAACCAAACATAGAGAGCTTCCTCATTCATTCAGCTTTTATCAAGTGACTACATGGCAGGTACTGTGCCAAGCTCAGGTAACGCCAGGCCAGAATGTTAACAGTCTCATTCCTCAATGAATTTGCATTCCACAGGAAGAAAGAAGTACACAAATAAATGTGCAAAATGTACAGGAAGTAATTTCCAGGGTGAGAGCTGGCAGACATGGGAGGATCAGGAAAGGACTCCTGTGGTCCGTAATGGACTTTAGTGTCTACAATGTGGCTAGCACTGAGGTAGATACAAGAGGAGACACAAAGCTGTTTAATACATCGGACAGGAGCCCTGCCCTTAGGGAGCTTATAGTCTAATCTCCTGAGCTACAGTCCCATGTCTGGCTCCCTGGACCTGGACAAAAAGACATCTCAAAGGGCAGCTAGGTGGCACAGTGGATAGACCACTGGCCCTAAAGTCAGGAGGACCTGAGTTCAAATCTGGTCTCAGACCAAACACTTGACACTTACTAGCTGTGAGACCTTGGGCAAGTCACTTAACCCCAATTGCCAAAAAAAAAAAAGACATCTCAAACTCAACATTACCAGAACAGAACTCATCATTTCTTCCTCCCCCCCGCCTAATACTTCCTTCTTTGGAATTCTCTCTCTCTCTCCCCTCTCACCTTCACCTCTCCTCTTAGATTCCCTGGGTTCCTTCAAGACTCGGGTCAAATCCTACCTTTTGCAAGACCCCCCCCCCCCCCCCCCCCGACTCCAGCTACTTCCCTCTGAGAGGGCAGCTCCTCTGTATCTAACTTGTCTATACCCATTTTTGACATGTTGCCTGCCTCATTAGAATGTAAGCCCTGTGAGGGCAGGGACTATTTGTGCTTTTCTTTATATTTCCAGCAGCTGTGCCTGGCCCAAGGCAAATACTTAACAAGAGCTTGTTGCCTAAGTCAAGTCGCATGTTAACACTCTGTTGTTCTATATTCTATATCCAAAGGTACTTCTTAGCCCTGACATTCCATGCTCTAAAATCCCTTCCACCTTTGACATTCTGTTTTATGTTCTGAAATCCTTTTCAGCTCTGATTCTATATACTATGCTGTAAATTCCCTCCCAGCCCCAACATTCTTTTCTGTATTCTAAAGCCTTTACAACTTTGACATTTTCTGTTCTGTATGCTAAGATCTTTTCAAGCTCTGATATTCTCTACTCCTTAACCTAAAGTCCCACCCAACCCTGATATTCTCTGTTCTCTGTTCTCTGTGCTAAGGTCCTTCCTGGCTCTGAAATTCTGTGTTCTCTGATTCCATATGAACCAAATGTTCCCGAGGGCAGGCATACCAAGAATGAACAAAGGATGAGACCAAATATTTCCGTCCTCAGATACAGGTTGAATTGGGAGGTAGAAGAGAACAATGCCCAGAGATTGTCTTCTTGGGGCTCAGTTCCCTCTCCTTGCTCCACAGGGGTGGCTGGAGCCTGCAGTGATGAGCCTGGCCATGGAGCGACCCCTCAGGGACCCAGCTTGGGGTTCCCATAGGAGGGCAGGGTCAGTGCTGTGTTTTCCTCTCACCCGTCTGCGGAAGCAGCTAGCAGTCTCTTCATAACCGTCGCAGGATAGGGTTACTCCCTGGCTCCTCCCCAACACCACCCCCAGGGCTCTCTGACCCCCTTCCCAGAGGCAGGGGCTGGGTGATTCCTGAAGAGAGAGAGAAGGAAGGAGCAGCTCCTGTGCCTAGGTACAAGACTGCACGCTAGACTGGGGTGGGGATGGTGGGGGGCTGAGTTGCGGCTCTTTGTGAGCCTGCCTGCATCTGCAGGGACGGGGGTCTGTGGAGGGCATGGCTAGTGTGGTCTGTGGATCCAGGATAAGGGAGTGTGATTAAAAGACTTTTGGGGGGACCCTGAATGCTTGATTTATAAATGATTTACCTAGTCTCTAGTAGAAGAGTTAAAGGTGGAGTCTTGGGAGAGGGCGGCACCTGGGGAGGGGATTCAAGGACACCTAGGCACTATCCAGCCGAAGATACACACATATCCCACCTGCTCAAGTTAAAAGTGGAGCAAGAAACCACTGTGACTGCCATCTAGTGGCCAACCAGATCCAGCCTGGTCCGCACCCATTCCTGCCTTCTACACCAGCCCGGGTTTCTCCCAGCTTCATTCCCAGTGCAGGCGGTCGGGGGTGGGATGGGAGAGACATCTGGGGAAGGTTCTGAGTTGAGCAGAACACCCAGGCTGGCTCTAACCTGGAGATCCCTAGCAGTGACTTCGAAAGGAGATTTCCCTCCGGGCTGGGCCCCGAGAGACCCCCACGTTTGATGCTGCCGAGACTTACACATCTCTCTCCCATTGTCTAGCCCCACTTCCCGAAAAGACCACCACAGCAGTTATGTCTTTAGACCTTAATTAGGAAACCAATGCGTCTGATCTGTGTGGAAATATCAGGTTTTCTGGGAAAAATGAACGTCTACAAACTAACTCCTCACGTCCCCCCTCTGTGGACATCAGTGTCCCCACATGTAAAATGAAGGATGGTCCCTGAGGCCCCTCCCGGTCTTCACGTTCTAAGTGTTACATTCTCAGGTTTGTTCTAATAGTCTATGTTCTCAAGTCCCCTCTAGCTCTGATGTTCTCTGTTCTAAGGTCCTTCCCGGTTCCCAGGGTTCCAAGGTCCCTTTCAGTTCTAATAGTCCATATGTTCTGTGTTCTAACATCCTTTCCAGTTCTGAAATTGTCTTCTATGTTCTAAGGTCTCTTTCAGCTCTGACATTCTACGCTCCCAGGTTCCTCTGCTCTGACGTTCTATGTCCCCATGTTCATCTGCTCTGACGTTCTATGCCCCCATGTTCCTCTCC